GAGTAAAAGACTTTCCACAGTCACCACATACAAATTGTTTAGTACCAGAGTGGATGCGCTGATGCAATTTTAAGCTTTCAATCTGAAGAAAAGCCTTTCCACAGTCACCACATACAAATGATTTAACTCCAGAGTGGATGCGCTGATGCATTTTTAACCTATCAATCGCAGTAAAAGACTTTCCACACTGATCACAGACAAATGATTTACCTCCAACATGGATCATATAATGTCTGTTAAAGTGAGTTTTTAGAGTAAAAGACTTTCCACACTGATCACAGTTGAATGGTTTCACACCGGTGTGGATCAGCTGATGTCTTTCTAAGCTGCATCTATGAGTATAGGTCTTCCCACATTGATCACAGCTGAATGGTTTCACCCCTGTGTGGCTCAGCTGATGTGATTTTAAGTGACCAATCTGATTAAAAGACTTTCCACACAGATCACAGTTGAAAGCTTTAACTTCAGTGTGGATGAGCTGATGTAATTTTAAGCTCCATCTATGAGTAAAGGTCTTCCCACATTGATCACAGCTGAATGGTTTCACCCCTGTGTGGATCAGCTGATGTGCTTTTAAGTGACCAATCTGAGTAAAAGACTTTCCACACTGATCGCAGTTGAAAGCTTTAAATTTCGTGTGGACGACCTGATGTGTTTTTAAGTTGGATCTATGAGTAAAGGTCTTCCCACATTGATCACAGCTGAATGATTTCACCCCCGTGTGGATCAGCTGATGTGATTTCAAGTTGCATCTTAGAGTAAAGGTCTTTCCACACTGATCACAGCTGAATGGTTTCACACCGGTGTGGATCAGCTGATGTCTTTCTAAGCTGCATCTATGAGTAAAGGTCTTTCCACATTGATCACATCTGAATGGTTTCACACCGGTGTGGATCAGCTGATGTGATTTTAAGTTGCATCTTAGAGTAAAGGTCTTTCCACACTGATCACAGCTGAATGGTTTCACACCGGTGTGGATCAGCTGATGTGATTTTAAGCTACCAATCAGAGTAAAGGTCTTTCCACACTGGTCACAGCTCAAGCTTCTCTCCTCCCCGTTGGCGCGCTTGCGTCTTCTGGGCTGCTTCATAGCAGGAAAAGTCTTTTCCACAGGGATCGCCGCTGGCTCA